TTGAAGCAGTGACAGACTCTTCAGTGGTCAGTCATCACATTAGAAAATGTAAATTTTAGTAGATGTCTAAATATCTCTTCAACAGTGAGAGGGAGTCAGATTGCTCCAGACCATTCTTAAATCTTCCTGGAACCTAATACAATTATTTTGCCAATAAGTAAGCAGGGGCACACACAATTCTGTCATTTAGACATTGCTTGTCATTGACTGCTGGGAGGATGGAGCCTTTGCACGTAGGTGAAGCCTTTGACTATTGATATTCTCGAAAAGTCACGTATATTCAATTTGTATTCTGCTGTTACCTGTGCAAATAACTTCAGTTCTCCACTTCCTTGCAAGTCTCCTATGCATTTTACATCTGCCGCTTTCTGGCGAGTTCTCATTTTCCCCCGTGGAGTCTGGCATGTGGGATGTGCCAGCCAGTTCATGGGATGCCGAACATTTTCATTCTCATCATCTTGTCGTCACTGTCAAAACACAAAGCTAGTGAAAAAGAAAGAGAAGTTTTCCAGCGGCTCTGTGCAGCTTTTCTCCCTGACACGTTCCTTTTGGCTTATAATGTGCCTCGGATGATTTTGGGCCATCCTGTAGCAACAGAAGCAACCTGCAGTCTCCAGCCTATGTTAACGTTGCTAGGCTGCTGTTTCATTCTCCGAGTTACATAGTAGTTTGCTGATAGTTTGATTACTTGACTTCAGGGAGTTAAAAATACAAACATTGCTAAGGGTAAATGCCATATAAACATCCGCATTTGCTCTTAAAAAATAATCTTTTGATCATTTTGGGTTTGGAGTTCAAAATGTTGTTTAAATGTTAATCGCTTGAAACTGTGCTTGGGCATATAATTCAATTATGGGACCATCTTAATTATGCAGATGGTGCTTGTGAGCATCTGATACAATTACAGTGCCAGTTCAGTGCACACTCTATGAAACGTTATTATTTCAACGTGTGTGGACAAATTCACTTTTTCAGGAAATGTGTTCATGGAATTGTAATACTGCGCTGCTCTGCTCTGCTCATTGCTTTCAATGGCCTGTAAACCACAAGGTCTTTAACCATTCTCCTGTATTCCGTGGTGGTCCTAGGCTTGCAAGAGATTTCTTCATGTTTTTAACATACCCAGAGGGATGAAAATGAAGACTTCAGTTAATAATCTGTCATCTTTCTGGGTAGCAGGCGGCTTTATTTCTACTTGAATTTTTAACCACCTTTTGAATGCTACACCACATCTGGAGGCCGTGTGTAAATCTCATCCAATCAAGCTGATAACAAAATAGGAACATTAGTGGAATTTACTTTCACCATAAATGGTGCAAAATAAATACCATGTAATTCTTGTTAAACAAGACTCGGCTTTTAATATTGTCCCTTCCTTTGGTTTGTGTCCAACGAAAAGGAACCCGTAGCATGTTTTACAGCATGGTTCAATGTTTAAGGAAGATCAGTGTTTCTGTTTCCTAGAATATGTTTTTTTCATCTGCCTTTGTGTTAGTTTAAACAACAAAATTCTTATAACCACTTTTAACTCCATGTGAGGCCAGCCTTGTGGCCTAATTAATAATTAGGTGCCATTAGAGGGGCCGTGACAGTGAAGAAAGATTAAGCAAAGAATTGGAATATCCATAGAGGGGATATTTTAAAATAACTGAGCGTTTTGAAATGAATATAAACCTTAATGCTTCTGGCCAAAATTCATCCTCTAACTCACTGTAAGTAAGAGGAAAAAGATTTTAGGGGTGATTTATTATGCTTTCTTACAGTTTTTCACTCCTCCTGCCCCTTCCTCACTGATTCTTATCAGAAATAGGACATTAATCTACCTCATGATCCACCAAGTATGGCCACATCTGTGTTACTGCTAAGCACACTATCTGTCCTCTTTAGATTTAGGTACTGTATAGATGATATACAGAATAGGTGTTGTCACCTCAGAAAAGCTGTGTAGTACCTGAATTCCCACTTCTGAAGAGTCTGCACGCTTTCCTATTCCAGATTACTTTCTCTGGTGCTTAAAGGAGAGACTGTGCCTCTCTTTGTGGCTGTATGTAGGATGAGTTTCTCTCAGTTTGGTATTTGGCTCTTGCAGAAATGTCACAGGTTATATGACCGTGGATCTAATCGTTCAAAATTCATGCCAGGAAAATTTGTCACATTGTAAATTCCAATTTCCAGCATTGGGTTTATTCATATTTTGTTGACACTAATCAGAGAATGAATTCAAATCCGATGAATTCACTGCAGTTCTAGATCAGCTTTGCTCTGAGGGTTTACGGAGTGGGATCAATGATGGTTAGACTTCGAGCCCACTCTTCACACAGGAGTGGAAAGCATCTGCACAACGCAGGTCTGCTGTGTGTGCACTTCTGAAGCATCACAAAAGGACATGCTCATTGTCCACATATACGAATACAACTATAGTTCAGTTGTAAATTCTTTTATTGCTGAGATTATTTTCATTTTTGCTTTGTTACAAGTACTGCTTGCAACGTAAAATATTACTATAATATTAGAAAAATATAGCATCTAGCAAAATAAATTGAAGTACATACTTGCTTTCAGTTTTCTTCCTCTATAACTTAGGTACCAAGCCTCTGTCGTGGAACAAGCAATCTAAGCTGATGCGCATTACCTAAAAACAATGTGGGACCAGTGCACAAGGACAGGGGGTAGAGGCCAAAGGATTTGTAATGCTTAAATGCATGTTGGGATACTGTTCAAAACTCAGTAGCTGATTCTGCCTTCTAATGACATGTTAACCTGTCCTTTATGGAAAATATAATGTACAAGCTTGAAAGCGAAATGCATCACGCACAAGAACCAAGAGAATGAAGATTGCTTTGACTTGGACATACAAATGGCTATAAGAAGCAAGTAGTAAGACATGACATTGATGTTTGCTGTTGGAGCAAGATCTCAGAAGTCGAGTGCATGGGAGGAAATGTTCCTGTAGCCTAATATGAAAATTACTCTGTTGCTTCTGGTGGAGTCAACAGGAGTGTGGATTAGGTGTCACATAATTATCAGTCACAGAAATACAAGTTACAGAGGGGTCATACTAGTGCTGCTTATGATTTCATAAAATTATTTTAGCTAATGGTTCATGCAAAAATGTAACCTCATTTATCCATCATTGCCTTCTATGGGACTTTCTCTAATCTAATGTCAAACTTCTTTTTCCATGACATATAAGAAGAAAATTCAGGTAAATTGATGTTGACTTTTCTGGTGACTAGAAAGATGAGTTCTTCTTTGACACCCTCTCATTCCAAACCACTGCATTCCTATTCTCCTTGAGAAAAGGGCTCTACTGAAGTATGCATCCATCTTTATGTGTCACAATTACTGTAGACACTTACTGCAGTAACGAGGCTCTGCAAAAATGACGGTTGGAGCATAGAGCTGTAACAAGTGTACAGTGTTCCAGAGGTTGCAGCAATACAAAGGCAGGGTGCTGTGCAGAGGAAGCACCTTCTGAAGTTACTTTTTGGACGAAAAGAAAAGCATCATGTGCAGCTAACAAGCATGTATTTCTTCCCTGATAGGTTTCCCTGTTGTCTGTAGTGGTGTTTGTGCGGTTTGTTGAAAATGGAAGCTCCCAGTGCTGTTGGAGGTGTGTTTAAGACCATATATTTGCCTGCTGAGGAGCGGAGGATGTCTTTTCTTTCTTACCTGTAAACACATTTGTCTTCCGATTTCGTATTAGTGTGGTGCCTGGTAGAGAGCCACCATGTTGCAATATTAAGCCCTTCAAACTCATCGACAAAGTAGCAAGAATTTTGTGAGCAAGAGAACTGAGTTAACAGTGTATACTGTTTGCAATGTACCATTTTTCTCAGGCTGATATTAGTCAAAAGATGTGATTTTTGGCTTTTGTAAGAAGAGTAGGTCATTTCCTGCCTATTTTCCTTCTAAGTGTAAAATAGCACATATGCAGATGACAATGACCATTTCAGTGTTCTCGTGTCTGATTGTCTCAGAGGGAGATGCAGCTTGTTGTTGGGATTGTATATACTTGTTACAGGTGATAGGACTCTGGCTGGATAACCTGCAACAATTTGCAGAAGTACTGTCCAAGATTTTGGGCATTAGTTCTGCCAACCGGCTGCTATGTAGATGTGCAAAATATTAAAAAAAAAAAAAAAGTAAATTGCCTTTGTGCTGCTTTTCCACAACTGCACAGGAATCTGGTGTAACTGGAATGGAGTAAGTTCATAGAGCTGTAGGACAATGGAGGTTGGAAGGGACCTCAGGTGGTCTTTAGCCAATGAGACTGGAGAACCTTGCTCAAAGCAGAGCCACCTTACCAGATCAGAGCAGGTTGCTCATGGCTTTATTTGGTATCATCTTGAAAACCTTTAGTGATGGAGACTGCACAACTCCTCTGTGCAGCATTGACTACATTCCACTGCTTGACTACCCTTAGGTATGAAGAGAGCTTGCCTTTCAGTAAGTTTTAGTCCAGACCCTACACTTCTCTCCTTTTGTCTCTGAGGAGGATCACGTTTTCTTTCCTTCCATGATCAGATTAACCCTGTACTGCTTAAGAAAAGATGTCAAGCTTCCAGAATTTCAGTCAGACTTAAGACAGCTGCTGGTAGAGAAAACTGAAAAAAAAAGGGTTCTTCTCGTAGTGGACTTTGTGTATGAGTATGTACGTGGAATAGCAAGGTGGAGAGTATTTGCCATTTCCATGTATATTAAGTTGAAGAGTTTGAACAAATGGGGGCAGGGGCTGGGCATGCAAAAAACCCCTCAAACTTCTAAGTATTTTAAGTTAGCTGGCACTGCTATATGTCTGTATACTCCCCAGCTATGACAGTACTAATGTTGGCTGGGTTTTTTTCACCTTTTTAATGTAAAAGACAAATGAAGACTTTAAACATGTGTTGGCTTTGGTGATTGGGTTAATATTTTTTTAGATTTAACCCCAAAGTTCAGTCTATCTTTATTTGATTATTACAAGATTAATGAATTATAAACCTTTTCTCTATTTTCAGGCTGCTCAATGCCAATAAGATCAACTGCCTGAGGGTAAACACGTTCCAAGGTCTGCATAATCTCAAACTGCTATCTCTTTATGACAACAAACTGCAGACCATCAGCAAGGGGCTTTTTGCACCTCTCCGATCGATCCAGACTCTGTGAGTATGCAGGGATATCATAAATGACAGCGTACTCTTTTTCCCCCAAAGATGTTGCCTGTCGTTGCAAAGGCTTTGCATCTGACATTAAGACAATTTGGAAGAGACCCCAAGGTAGTAGCCCCTCCTTTTCTGACAGAAATAAGAGGAGCGAGAAAAAGAAGTATTGCATAAATTCAGCACAGCCAGCTATCAATACAGCCTGCCCATTGTGACATAAGTGTATTAAGCTCCCAGAGTAATTCATTCATACTGTTTGTTGGGACAATAATATGTAAATTTGACTCTGTACAATATATGTACAGCAGATTCTATTAAAACCATTGCCTAACAGTTGTTAATGAGTTGGCATCTCCCCTTACTGGGTCTTGAGTCCTGCTGTACAGGTCATGGCTTCTGAAACCATATTTCAGCTGACATTCCACTTAAGGGAAATGATACCTTGTATTACTTGATCCTTTAAGAAAATCCAGTTAACATTTTCTGAGAGTCTTCGAATTGGAGGCGCTAGGAGAAGAGGGATCAGAAGAAAAACTTGAAGCAAAAGTATAGAAATGACTTGATATTTTACAGAAGGAGGTTTCATCCCAAAGCTGTGAGTAGTAAGCTAATATGGTAAATAGCACTCCTTCAGAGCTGCAGTTGGCAGCCTGGTATCAATGAAAAACAAGGAAGAACCCCCTCACTCAGTATTGTGTATTTGTGTTTATACATAGTTGTGTGTGCATATATAGATAAAAGACTCTGTGTGTTCATGTAGTATGTAAGTATATGCGTTCCAGTATTAAAATACATATGTGCATGTGTATATATATATTTCCAGTACTACAGTATGTGTGTATATGTGCATATGTAATATGCATATATATTCCAGTATGTATTTATATACATACACATACATATTTTAATACTGGAAATGCATTGGTCAAATTATTTTTATAAATGTTTTAATTCATATAAAAATGAACTAACAGGTGTGATTTCTAGCAGCAGGGTACTTGCTACCTCCTCAGGCAGCCACAAGCACAACCTTCATTTCCAGCAGATATCTGGCCAGTATGTATTGCTGCAAAGCGTGAAGGCGTTAGAATAATCATGTACCCCATAGCCACCCCCTAGTTCTGCCCCCCTGCCTCTACTGTGCTTTCTTCTGCTGCAGTACATATGTACATCGATATATATGTAAACAAGGTGACAGAGAAGGTTCATTTACAGAGTTATATAAGATTTGTCAGGTTCAACAACAGACAACACCTGTAAGGTATAAAAATGTCTCATGTGTTTCCATGGGCTTTTATTGGTACTCCTGGTGGCCACTCCTTAGAATTGACGTGTTGCTTCACACTGAGAATGTGTGAAGCACTTTTTCGTGAAATTATGTGATTCATTCTCCCATTTTTAGTGCTCCAAGTGATTGTCATTTTCTGCCTTTTTTCTAGAGCTGCAAAATCAGTCCCATCTCCTGCCTCTATAAGCTTGTTTGTTCTTTGGACCTTTCACAGCAGGAATGGCTCTACTACAACAATAATATTTAGTTTCTTCAGGCACTTTCTGCTATGTATGCTTTCACTTGCCACTCCTTGACAGCCCTTGCCCTGTTGTATTTTATACTTACTCTGTTAAGTGACAGTTCATAAATATAACTGCAAACAGAAAAGAAAAGAAGTTTCTACAGGTGTAAAAAACACACTAGCAGTAACAGAGCAGAGTTCTTGTGAGGCTCTAACTTTACACCTCTGTCCAAACCAAATTTAAACATCTGTCTTTTTTTAAACTGTCTTTGCAGTTACTGGAGAGCCGTGTCCTGCTCCCTTGGCAGTTAGAGGGACTGGTGCAAGTTAGCTTAACTGAGATCAGAATCAGGCTCTAAGAAAGACCTCACAAACTCTCCTGGTATAGTGCTCAACTTTGTCAAGCAGAATGAATCATAATGGCAGCAGAGAAGTGCCGTTTCTCTCTCAGATACTCCAGCAGATTTCTATTGACAAAGTCTAAATATTCCATTAAAATCAATGCTATAATACCTATTTCCAATTGCGTGGGAAATATGTTGTGCAAATTTTGGTGAAGGATAGAATCAAGTTCTACCTTGCATAAACAGTTCAGTCTCAAAAGTAAAAATTTTTGGTCCAGGAAAAAAATACATAGAAGGGGAATACTATTATGCATGATGAGTATATGCAAACATCAATTCCTCTCCTGAGACAAGACCTCTGGATCACTTCTGGCTTTGCCCACAGATCCAAGGCACTTCACTAATTCGCATTTTGATCCCTGGGAAACTGTGCTTGCCAATAAAATTTCTTTTAAACCAGGATATAAAATGATCTTCAGGTCAGGTGCATCTAAAAAGATGCATTTCTCTCAAAAAGCAGCATATCGAGCTCTCAGGAGAAAACATTGGACTTTGTAGACAGGAGGTCTGTGTTCTTTAAAGCAGGCTTTGCTATCTTAATTTTTGTTTCCTCTGTGAAAGGAGTTGCAGCAAGCTTAATGAGCTACGAAATGTGATAGCTCACAGGATTCTCCCATTCATGTGCAGCTCTGTGTGGTTTCCGCCAGGCCTGGGTTTTTGGAAGCTTATTCAATTACTCTACTCTTCAGGTTTGCGTTTGTGAAAAACAGTGATGGAGTACAGTGTCACAGGTCACTTCTGATTAAACATCCCATCCTTCTCGCAGACATTTAGCTCAGAATCCATTTGTGTGCGACTGCCATTTGAAGTGGCTGGCTGATTACCTGCAGGATAATCCGATAGAAACCAGCGGTGCTCGATGCAGCAATCCGCGTCGCCTTGCCAACAAACGAATCAGCCAGATCAAGAGCAAGAAGTTCCGCTGCTCAGGTAATTCATTTATCCAGGCTGTACTGCACTTTCAATTCAGAAATAAGCAGGTCCAGAGAGCCTACTAATCGAATCTGCAGGACAGTGTTTGCTATAATGGATATTATGGAGCATCTTTTAAAATTAAATTTGGAAAATTCAGTTAGTTCTCCAGAAAGCCAATTACCTTATGGATTTAAAAAAAAAAAAAAAAAAAAAAAGAAAAGAAAAGGGGACAGTCTATAGCTGTCTTCTGTGTATCTCTTAAAAACAAAGAAAAGTAAAAAGGACAGATTGTGACATTTAATTTTAAAGAATTACTAGGATATAAAATGTCTAAGAAAAATAATGAAGATGTATATGAATCCATGTGGCAAATGGCATATTTTGAAGGGGTGGAAGGTGGATGGGTCATTATTTGTATTCAGGCAGAACTCTTATTGACCTTAATGGGAGCCGAGCTCAAGTAAGTTCTCAGACCTGAAAGGCTGAGAACAGTATGAGTGAGCTTTTTATACGACTGGTAATGGGCATTTCTGACCCAGGATGTGAGTGAAGCTGGGGGTGGTGGGATGGCATCGATTCAAATACTTTCATAGATTTTTATAATTTTTTTATATCCACAAGTAATATGCAGTAATTTAAGTAAAATTGCCATTGAAGTTGGTAAGATTTTTGGGTTTAGTAAGTTTTGAATCAAAACTTGCATCATAGTTTAGAGAAAGATTTTGTGTTGTAAGCTAGATGGAAGAATGTTTCCACCTGAAAATAACCTCCGAAGTAACATAAACACCATTTTGTCAATCTTATCTGTTCTTTGTTTATGGTCCAGCTCTCAGTAAAAGGACATTTATTGCCTTATACAGCACAACTAAGCCGACTGCTTCTTCATGTGTTTGTTTTCTATTGGTTATGCGTATTTTGGATTGCTGCATTTTTGTGTACTATAAAGACAAGCAGGTTTCAGTGAGCAAATCTATTAGTGTGTACAGAGAAGAAAAATGACTGTTATTGATGGAGTACCTTGCAGTGTTCTCTATTAAAAATACTATGATTTTTGTCTTTTTCTTCTGGAACCAAAAAATAATACCATGATTAATTGTGTTCCTGGTGGTAAAAGATTAATGACTTTAGATGGAGATGCAGCTTGAAACTGAATGACAGCAGCCCAGAACAAGCCGTTGTGCTTTGTGTATCTCTCTGAGCAATACGCTGAGCTAAACCTTCTCTTTATGGGGAAAATAAAAGAAAGGTAACTTCATTTGCAGTCAGGTTTTCTTGAGCATGCTTGTTAAAGTCATCAATCACTTGTGACTCAAGCCACAAAATGTAGAACCAGAACTGAAATTATTACATGCTTTTATCTGGGTTTTGGGATTGTGTCCATCATAGTAACAAGATAATTAGTCAGTAATATTCATATTTAAAGAAACTGGAGGTGAAAATGCATAAAAATAATTTAGAAAGGAAAGTAGACTGCAGAAACACATCAGTATAAATCTGTACTCAATTTGCCATTGTTATTTTCTTCTGCTTTTATTAATAGGCTAGAGAAATTAATCTTACGTATGTGCATGCATGTCTTGAACAATGGTACAGGCTATTGGATAAGGCAAACACTATCTGATATCATTTATGAAAGGTTGTAGCTAAGAAGAGCAACAATGCAGAACACAGTACCTGGTGATGTTGAGAATCATATTTTGTGTGAGTTCTTATCTTGGGTGTCCTTTCCTTGAGGCATTAGGCTGTTTTTTCCCTGGTCTCCAGTTCTACGAGTATATCAAAACCACATGGAAAAAGCATAAACCTGACTTACGAAGGAGGAGAGCAGGGATTGTGCAGCTTCAGAACAAAGATTTCAGCTGGATGACAACTAATTCTATTTAAAAGCTCAATAGAGAAGATATCCTTGCCTGTAGAGTTTCCAGATGGCGATGAGATACATTGAACTCGACTCACTGTCTGCTCTCATGAGACAGGGGGAACATCTAATGGTTTAGGAGAGTCTTAGTTTGTAAGTCAATCCAGAGAGCGTACAGCCTTGGCACCTGTTCTGCTCAAGTTGTCCCTTTGAATCATGGCTGCTTCAGGCCCGGCATTTAGCAGGAATTTTCCATGTTTTCATTTTGAGGAATATGTTTCATCCCAGGTTTTAACCCAGGACATCTCTGTGCAGAAAAGTCCGTGAGGTATGAATCTTCATCGTTCAAAGTCAGACTACTGAGCGGTGCTTTGTGTTATCCAGGGATGAGCCTGCACAATCCCACTGGGGTGGCAATGCTTGGTAACTTCTCAGTGTCCTTGCTGGCTGGGGGATTCTCCCTCTCTGGTTTTTACATCTTTGCTCAGTGTATGACAAAATAATTTTTGTTTATATCCTTTTGTAAATGTGCATTTCTTTGTTCAAAAGGGGTTCTTGTTTCAGGATCCTGGTATTTTCATGTAGTTTGTTTAATACGTCAGTGGTCAGAAAGATGATTTTGTAGGGGAAAACCCAGTGAATATGAGGGATTGGTGAAGGAAGCAACATGAGGAATTTTATCTTGACCTGGTCTTTGACCTTTGAGAAGTAATGAGGATGCACAGAAAGTGTGAGCTCTCTGGAATTAGACAGACTGAGCCCATGTCAGGATCGCACCCATGAACAGTTAAAGTTAGATGAGCTTAGATGACATCAGGGAAAGGACCAGTTCTGAAGTCATAAAATTCTGAGCAATCTGCGTGTTTTCCACATTCATTTGGATTCTACAAAGTATCATAAAGGGGATTGTCAGGAAGGACCTGGCGTGAGAAAAAATACGATTGTTCAGTAGATTAAGAGAAGAAAGGAAAGCACTTTTTGTACGAGGATAGGACAGAGCAGTTGTTAACAGGAATGGGGAAGAAAAGCTGAGATATTTGAAGTTTCATCAGTTTGAGAAGGTAGAGGAACATCAAGAAGGTAATGTCAAGAGGACACACTCAGAGATGCAGATGGGCTAAGTAGAACTGTATTTGATTAATTAAATGAAACAGGACAAAACTATGCATCACAGTAAAAATAAAAGTAAAAAAAAAATAGAAAAATTTGTTATGCATATTGTTTCGTTCAGGTTTTATTCCAGTTCCTCACCATCCTTTTAGATAGTATTTAGCAAGAAGAACTTGCCTTCTTTTTTTTAATTCATCATCAAGGTACTTTTCCCAGGTGCTATTTCCTCCCTGAACCAAATGACTCAAGCTTTTACTGGTAATGATGGAGCAACATCTGCAAAGATTATGAGTGGCCATAGGAAGGAGTTTCTGTGCAACAGGTAGATAAGGTACATAATTCTTTTTAAAAAGAGAATTGGAAGCATTATAGCATGAAATGAAGGAACAGCAGGGAAAGGGGCATGTTTTTGCCTGGGGCTGTGAGACAGGCAAAGCTGTTGAATATACTATCGAATATGTTTAAGCCTCCATGTTTTTCTGCCTTCAGTTTAATGCAATGCACCAAAATAAACCACCCCCTTGCTCAACTCTCTCCCCACAGTTAATCTGAGACTAAAAAAGGTTTTTCTTGAAAGACAAATTGGAGGAACAGGCTATGACTAATTCACTCACTCTTCTGTTTAGAAAAGAGAAATACTATCATTTTCAGTGGCAACAATAAAATTCTGATGATCATTTTCTTTTTGCCTGTATCTGCCCACTATGACCACGTAAGACTCCAACAGTACTTGCCAGCCTTAGGTCACCGGAGGCTTCCGTTCTTAGTAGAAGTAGGGGGGAAAAAGAACAATAAAAATCTTCTGCCCAGTAGCATTTGATTAAGTTCACGACACAGCAGTTTTGTTTTCTGAAGCAGAACTGGGCTTTTGGAGGAAGGGAAATGAATCTGTGAGCAGATTGTGTTGTCTCTGTGGTAGCTTATTGTCACTTCAAGAGTTGGCAGGATCCTTGATTGCTGTGTGACACTGAGTATGAAATCGCTTTTGCAGAGAGCTGCCCTTGTATTCAGCTGTATATCTCTTTTTTCCCCTGTGATACATTTGCGTTTTTCAGTATATTGTGTATTTCAAAAGCGATGGAAGTTCCACCTGCTCTATCTACACAAACTATTTCTAATAATGATCAAAGTGTATGTATAGCTATGAGCATCACACCATGAAAGCTTTTTATCTTCCAATTCTTAGAAATGAGAATCTTAGAAATTTTTAGAAAATTTAAAAAAGAAAATTAGAAAAAAGGTTACTATGTGAAATATGATGAAGTCAACCTGCCTTCCTGCTTCTTCTTGCATTGGGGCATACATTGCATCTAATTGACTTTAATTAGTTGCTTCAGTTCCAGATAGTGCTGTACAAATCAAAAGCACAGGGAATAACAGGAGGAGGACAATGAACCATCTGCCAGCACAATTCTCTCCTTTTTGGACACTGTCTCTTGTTAACCAAATGCAAATCAAAGTCAGCCTCTGTGGTACAATACGGATCCAGAGTTTGCATGTTTAGGACTGGTTTCATATTTCTTGTGTTATCCCCTGTTACTAGGTAGTAAATGTAGTTGCTATTTGTTCACTCTTAATTTTCAAATGATTTGACAAAACCTCTTCTTACACATTGCAGTTTTCCTTCTAATTCTTTATGTATCTTTTCCAGTCTCTGTCTTCAGACATATTCACCTTTCTTGGGTTACCTGTCTACTTTGGAACAGAGTTCCTATTACTCGTGATCACCTGAAATTTCCTTCTCTCTTCTCTGCGTTGCTTCAGCCTTAGAAGCATAGAACTGCAACAGATGGAGTGTTCCCAGCCAGGACAACTCAGGCTGCACATCAGGCTTTTTGTCCGGTCCCTACAGCAGTTCACATGTTTTCTGTCCCTTGGTCTCCCTAAGTTATCCCCTTCTCTGCTGTCAGTGACATGTGAACTCTATTTAAGCTCTTTGAGCTCTCGAAATGAAAGGTGCAAAGGCAAGTGAATTTAATCCAGGTTTTACATAATTTATCTGATGGAAACACTCTGTTGTTCCTGTAATTTGCCCATGACTCTGATG